AAACGATCCTAAGTAGAATCCCGATTTTGAAAGCCTTGCGTCCAACCCCTTTCAATCATCTTCACTTGCATGTGCTATATCAGATATCCACAACCATCAGCACTCTCAAACAGTCTCTTTGGAATTTGCAAGTGAGTTTTCAAGATACCAAAAATTGTTGACTCGGTGTTTCAAAAATAAAAATTTGTTGACTCGGGACTTTGCTTTACAAAAATGTCCCTTTTGAGTTCTATGGACATGTACAATGTTGCAAGCAAATTGAGTAAATGGTGAACCGACTTGGTCAAAGCTCGAACTCAAATTGACTTAACAAAATGTGAATTAGTGTCAGGACTTGGGGCTTAATTGTAAATAGTAATAAATAATAACAGTTTCTGTTATTGGTAGTTAAGGTGCTGAGTCAGATGACGTCAGCAGGTCAGTTTGTTAAGTTGGTTAGTGATCGTGTAGGTCATTCCTTTATAATGAGCTCTCTGCAATTGCAGAGGCATGAAGAGAAATAACAGAATTGATTCTTCTCCCTCAAGCTTTCACTCTCTGTCTCTCTCTCTTTTCCTTTCTCTCCTACCCTTCTCCCTCTCTTGTTCTTCATTCCACAGCTGCATTGCAGCTCTATCTCAGGAATTCTACTTGAATTCCGGACAATTGGTACCAGAGCAGCGATTCTCGGACTGATTGCAACTATTAACAATGCGGAAGGCACACGATTCAAGAATATGGATGATCAATTGATGAAACAGGAAGTACGACTGCAGGAAGCTCTGTAAACAATTTTCTCTCTCCAACAGAATCAACAAGAAGTCCAGCAGCAATTGCGGGGAGAGATGGAGAATTCTAACAAGAAATGAGAGCATTAATCTCAGGCATGGACCAGAAGCTCAACGCATTGATCCAAATTATGGCCAGAGAGAAGCAATTGGAAAAAGATGAGGCAGTTCAACCAGAGAAAACTCCATTTCTACCAACACCCCCAGCACACACGAAGCTCCAGTCTGAGCTTGGTGTTAATCAGTGCTCCAGAGCCAAGCCTTCCAAGGTATTCTTACCAAATCCCCCAAAGATTGAGTTACCTCTTTTCACTGGAGAGAATCCACGCATTTGGCTTCGTAAATGTCAGAAATATTTCCTCACCTACCAAATTCCTCCAGACCAGCAAATGGAAGTAGTTGAGATGTTTTTGGACAGTAAGGCGGATGTATGGTATCAAGGCATCAAAATGGAATTCCCAGAGTTATCTTGGCAACTATTCACTGAATTGCTCGGTGAGAGATTCGCGCGAAAAAGGAGCTCGGATGTAGTAGAAGATTTCAACAAACTGCAGCAAGTAGGGACAGTGGAGGACTACCAGGAAAGGTTTGAGGAATTAAAATCGTTGATGTTAGTTAAAAATCCTCACCTATCCGAATCATATTTCGTTTCAAGCTTCATTAGTGGATTGCGAGATGAAATTAAGACTATGGTAAAAATGTTGAAGCCAAACAAGGTGTCAGATGCTATGGACTTAGCCAGGTTGCAGGAGGAAGCCTGGAGGTTACAGCAGAAATCTGCTAAGGAATTACCAAAGTCGCCTGTTGATCCTAAGTTTGGCTTATACAAAGGTACTGCTGCTGTTCCAAATGCCTATAAAATTTCACCGACTAATGTAATCAAAAGTGAGACTAGTTCAGCTACACCAATCAGGAAAATATCGCCTCAAAAAATACAATTTAGAAGGAATAATGGACTGTGCTTCAAGTGTGGTGAACGTTTTGGGGCAGGGCACCAGTGCAAGAACAGACAACTGAACATGATGGTAGTCGATGAGGAAGATGAAGGAGAATTCTTGGATGCTGTAGGGGAGCAAGATGAAAGGACAGGCAACCCTGGAGAATTGATGGAGGTATCACTCCATGCACTTTCTGAGGCACTGAAGAGGAAAACAATCACTCTCAGGGAAGAAATCAGGGGAGTTCCCATACATATTCTGGTGGACATAGGTAGTTTAGACACCTACATTAGCCACCATCTGGTTAAAGCTCTAGAATTGCCATATGTGGTCACCACTCCTTTCACAGTAGTTTTTGGGGATGGCTCAATGATATCAGGATGCACTAAAAGTCCTAAGGTACTTTGGTCCACTAATAATCACAAATTCTGTTTTGACATGGGGGTCATGGAGCTAGGTGGATAGGATCTGATTTTAGGGGTGGATTGGATGGCTCATTATAGCCCCATCATATTTGACTTCCACAAGCTCATTATAGCTATTCATAGTGAAGCGGAAGAAATCATCCTGCAGGGATGTGTGGTAGAAGCTGAGCTCAATCTGTTGAGAAACAAGGACCTCAGGAACTTCATTAATTACAAACATAGCTGTTACAGTATATCTCAGGGAACAAATCCAGACGCTGAGTCACCTATTGAAGTCAAGGAGTTGTTGGGCAAGTACAAGGATGTGTTTACAGCACCTACAGGCTTACCACCAAAGAGAAGTCTGGATCATGCCATATCCCTCAAATCAGATGCTCAGGCCTTCAAAATCAAGCCTTACAGGTACCCTCACTCACAAAAAACTGAGATAGAAAGGCAAGTTATGGAAATGTTAGACAGTGGGATCATTAAGCATAGTAATAGTCCCTATGCTTCACCTGTGTTGCTGGTCAAAAAGAAAGATGGCACCTGGCGTTTTTGTGTTGACTATAGGCACCTGAATAAATTGACTATCAAGGACAAGTATCCCATCCCTAATATTAAGGAGCTGATAGCTGAGTTATGTGGATCCAAATATCATTCCAAATTAGACTTAAGGGCAGGGTATCACCAGGTTAGAGTTAAAATCCAAGATGTGCATAAGACTGCCTTCCAAATTCATGAAGGGCATTATGAATTCCTAGTCATGCCTTTTGGGCTGACAAATGCTCCAGCCACTTTCCAGGCATTAATGAATTAGGTTTTTCAGACATATCTGCGCAAGTTTGTGTTAATATTTTTTGATGACATACTGGTCTGCAGCAAAGATCTAGATCAGCATGTGAGACACTTGGAGATGGTATTGAAGGTACTGAGAGAGCATCAACTGTATGCCAAACTGTCTAAATGCTCATTTGCTCAGCAGAGGATTGAATATCTGGGACATATGATTTCATCAGAGGGGGTAAGTATGGAAGAAGGAAAGATCAAAGATGTTCTAGATTGGCCTACCCCCAACTCAGTTAAGGCATTAAGGGGATTCCTAGGCCTTACGGGCTACTATAGGCGATTCATCAAACATTATGGGATCATATGTAGGCCATTGACAGATCTACTCAAAAAGGATAGCTTCTGCTGAAATGAACAAGCAGATGCTGCCTTTAGAAAACTTAAGCAAATCATGTGTACTTCACCAGTTCTCAGACTACCAGATTTTGAGAGGCCATTTGTGATTGAGACAGATGCCAGTAATGGAGGCATAGGTGCAGTGTTGCAGCAGGACTCTCATCCCATAGCTTACCTCAGTAGAGCTCTATCAACAAGGAATTTGGATCTATCTGTCTATGAGAAAGAGTTAATGGCCTTGGTGTTAGCTGTGACCAAATGGAGACATTATTTAGTGGGACACATTTCATAATTAAGACTGATCACCAGTCATTAAAATATTTGTTGGAACAGAAGTTAACCACACCCTGCACAAGTGGTTGACTAAACTTTTAGGCCTGGACTATGAGATCAGTATAAGAAGGTAGTGACAACACTGCTGCTGATGCTCTATCTAGGAAAACGTTCTGTGGCCAGGAAGACCAGCCAGAGAACTCCCTTACTAGCAATTTCTGCAGTCAAACCCAAATGGATGGAGGAATTATACAGAAGCTATGAAGGGGATGAGCACTGGCAATCTGTTATAGCTCAATGTCTGCTGGACTCACACACACATAGTGATTATCAGATCTTAGATGGCATCATTAAGTACAAGGGAAAATTGGTAGTAGGTTAGCAAATGATATCAGGAGCTCCTTACTCAAGGCAGTACATGATACTGCTCTGGGAGGGCACTCAGGCCAAATGGGACTTATCAGAAGCTGAAAGTCGTATTCTATTAGGAAGGAATGAAGCAAGATGTGATCAAGTTTGTCAGTGCTTGTGACATGTGCCAGAGGTGCAAGCATGAAAATGTGTCTTACCTAGGTTTGTTGCAGGCTTTGACTATCCCTGATAAGGCATGGTTCCACCTCACCATGGACTTCATTGAGAAGTTACCTATGTCACAGGGAATGGATACCATTCTGGTGGTCATAGATCGCTTCACAAAATATGCACATTTTCTGGCACTCAGACATCCTTTTACAGCCACACAGGTTGCACAGCTCTTCCTGGACAGTGTATACAAGCTACATGGATTGCCAGTGTCTATTGTCAGTGATAGAGATAAAATTTTCACTAGCAAATTTTGGCAGGAGTTATTCAGATTGATGGGAGTAGCACTACACCTGAGCTCTTCCTATCATCCCCAAACAGACGGTCAATCAGAAAGACTTACCGGGCCGCGTTTAATAACTATGACTCTAATTCAGTAAGCAGTCGGAAACAATTAGATAAAACAGAAAACAACGGCACGCACCAAAAGCGAAGACGAAATGTAATGGTACATGAGTAGGAAAATACAAGTTTCAGGAGGCAAGCTCTCAAATTTATTCCTCAAATATCCACGGCCCGCTTCCTCAAACATGAGTACATATATCTATAGATATTACTAGTTCCCTAAAACACTGGACACCGAATTAATCAAGGAAAAGATAATACAATTGGACTCGGACACTTTAACCGACATAAGCCCAAGGAGACTAAATACGACTCGGACGTCACACCAATTTTGGACGCTGAACTAAATAATTAAATAAGACTTGGTTTAACTTTCTACATTGCCACCCTTAAACCAAGGTCTTCAAAATCTGCTAGTTTTCTTAGAAAGAAAAATAGCATAAGAAAGAATATTTGGAGAACGAAATAGACCTTAAAATCTGCTATGTGCTTCGAATGATCCGGCCGAATACTAAGTTATTACACATCAAACTATCTGCTCTTCTCAGCTGGCATTGAGGTTGGTAGTGTTCCAAAGACCTTATCCCATAATGAGGAAGTGATACCAAAGCCTTTATTTTGGATACGAAAGTGATGATTCAAATGATATTTCTGCAAAAGAGAGATGATCAGAAAGATATGCAGATCAAACCACTTGTGCAGTGGAGAAATTCCTACCTTCTTCCAGGTTCAGGTGACAAAACGGCCCCAACTGAATCAAGAATTCATACGGGCAACGGAAAATTTGATTTGTTCATGACAGATCATTCTAGATATGGGGCTAATGCAAGTCTATGCAAATTGTTTCTACTAAAATGATAGCATGTATCTACGATCCGAGTTTGTACATAATTTTTAGTATGTAGATTGTTTTTTACACACATGTAAATGAGAAATGTAATGAGACTCAAGTTGTTCTGATGGATTTGTATCTCTTTACCTTGAGTTTTTTGGCACTTCACTTGTAGGCTGCCCATGGTGCAAGTAATAATGGGTTACATCATACATCACATAACCCAGTAAACCACCTCCAAACAAAGCAGGAGCAGTAGAAGGAGTAGAAATGAGTTTTACTAAGTTGTAGAACTGCAAAACAAGAAGACAAGTATCAGAAGAAGAAGAGAATGTGCTGTGCATATACTCCTAAGAATTAACTAAAAGGGGAAGACTTGGAAGAAAGGCCCGAGTTTAAGACTGCTTATCAGACACGTGTAGCTGAAGGCAAGCATAAAATGGATTTGCATTTCTTTTCAAACAATTTTCTGTTATCTGTACTCATTAGCACATGATGTACCGCATTCTCCAGTTATCTCGCATAAATTCAGTCAAAATATTCACTCCATATAGACAAAATATCAACTAAGGTTCCGTTTGATAAAACTGAATCTGAATTCTGAAATCTGAATACTGAAACAATTAATTTATTGAATTTTAAGCACTGAAAAATATATATGAATGTCTGAATTTTAATGCTAAACCTATTTATACTGTTTGATAAATATTTATAGCTGAATGCTTAATAAGTTTAATTTGACAATTTTGCTCTTATATCCTTTCATTCAAAAAAGAAATAGAATCTATGATTTAATTAGTTTAAAATTGTTCGATATGAAAATGACAATATTTATTTTTAAATCAAATTAATATAAAAGATGAAATATATTATATGAGAAGTATGGAGAATATGTGAAAGTCATTAAAAAGGAGAAAAGAGAAACTAAAAATCGTTAGATAGAGAATATTATGTTGTTTAATTAGATAAGAATTTTGAACATAATTAACAAACAATGGTAGATTTGGTAGATAAGATAAGATAGCTGAAGTAATTCTATTGATTCTTATCAGAATTAAGCATTCAGTTAGGATTCTTGTGCTGAAAAAAATACACACAGGTTCAGCACTGCTTAACAAGTTCAGCAAATAGATTTTCATTTATCAAACACTCAAAACATCTGAATGTCTGAAAAAATTCAGATTCAGCACTTTTTTATGTTATCAAACAGACCCTAAAGCTCAACAAACCTCCAGTGAGAGCTGAAAGAGTAAATTGGAGCAGTTTAAGACAACCACCATCCAAAATGGCAGAAAATCAGACACTGAAACCAGACTCGAACTTGTTGTTTAGACAGTTTCAGTAGGTGAAAGTTCACTATGTACTGGTCAGTACCAGTCTAAGCAACTACATTTTCAACATATTCAATGGAATGTCACAAGCAAATTTTTCTCCCTCCATGCATCTTACTCTCGAAGACAACAAATATTCATGTCCAGTGCCTCTTAGATGTCATTGCTAACCCAGTAGCTACTAAATTGTATTTCTAGAATTATGGAGCAGATAACATCTTGCCCTCTCCCTCCCTCTCCCATGGGGCATGAATCTGGTGGCCACCAGCCCGATGTCATCCTCAACCTAAATGCTAGCAAGGGAAGAACTTTGATGCAATGGCTACTCACTTAGGAATAGTACAGAAATCAGCTGCTAGCAGTATGTCACAGTCAAAAACAAGTCTCACAGTTGAGATTCCTATGAAAATTTCATATCCCTGACCTGGAATCCTTTTCAGTCACATGTATCTTTTATGCACTTTTAGTAAATGTGTCAAAAAAATTGCATGATTACATGACCTGACTTGGTCAATTACTGGCAGGAACATTTGTCTGAAAGACATGCGAGGATCCCAGTAACTACCAAATAGCCTTACTATGAATATTGTAAAGCATAGCACGAGTTATTAGTAACGGGAAGGGAGTGAAGAAAGAAAATACAGGCTTTATACAGTATGAATAAAAAACGAAACGCTGCAGAAGGAAACATACAGGTAAGCACAGCACAGCAGTTGCAGCAGGAGGGAAGACAAGGCGCAGACCATCCATGGGGTGCTTATGATGGCAACCATGAAGAAGATAATGTATGGTATTTCCCCTACAACAAGTTTTTACATATTTCATTACATAGAGAAGAAAAAAAACACAAATACAAATAACACCGACAAGAAAGACGACAAACAATTAACATGCCTACACACATAGCAATGACTAACCAATAACTTTTCGTCTTGATGTGGAAAAGGAAACGATGTAGAGTGTATTCTAGCAAAGTCCATACACCGATTCCAGTTACCACCGTCAGAGCTATTTGAGGAAGTGTATGACCCATCACAATCGACTTTGAAACAAACCAACATACAACTGGGAGCCAAACAATGGGGATTACCCACCATTCTGTGCGGGTTAAAAACTATTTCGAGTAAAAATGAAATCAACATCAGCTCTGTGAAGCATGACTTGATAACATACATATAATAATTATTCAAGTGTCAATATAAATGAATAATCATATTATCAAATTCACCAGAGAGTATACCTCCCAAAAGTCACTTCCAAAAAATCGGGGACCTTCCTTGCTAACTATAGGCTGGTGAACCCACTCCTGATAAGATTCTCCAAGATGACCTACCTGTGTAAGATTTCAAAGAATTTCATAAAGCAAATTCAAAAAGTTAAAGTATGGTTTAATTGACTTAAACAAATATATCTCTTATGTGGAACAGCAGCACTAGTATCCATCAGCTAGAAAAGGTTACAAGTCAAAAAGGAAAACATGTTCTGCTGCATGTTAGTAAAACAAACGAATTGGTCTATTATAAGGCAAAATGCCATCTTGCCCAGTTCAACAAACTTTTTATGCCTAGTTTTGTTTGTCCTTTTCACGGCTTGGGGGGTTTTATTTGTTTTGTGGGTGGGGGGGGGGGGGGCGGCGAAGAAAAATGCAGGACTTAGACCTGTTGATGTTTTCATTTCTCTACCTTATAGTTTCCTCTTTGAACTGAGAATAGAAAGATAAACATGGCTGCATCACTAAATCTAGAGCATAAAAATACAATGCAACTGGCAGGCTATGATATTGCTAACAACAGTTTATTTAAGTACTCACTGCATGGGAAGGACAAAATTAAGGGATGCCATTAACTCAACTTTTGCTTCTATTCACCATAGGAATCTGTCATTTCTAGTGACTGCAAGACACTGAACTAATTACAAGGACTCTAGCATGGGTGTCACGTCTGGGTGCTCCTCTAGGTATCAGATTCATAAACTTTCTAGAATTTGGGATACTGGGACGCCAAAGAGTCAGGTTTATCTGGATATAGTAGAGAAGATATACAAACAATACATACATATATTATATTATATTACATACATACATATATATATTTATAATGTATAATATTATATATATATTATACATATATTATATTTTTCGGCTAATAGTGTACTTTATTGAATCTCTTCTGAATGATAACAGTGAGAGGAGGAAAAGTTTCAGAGAAAAGGCAAGGGTGGACCACAGACATATGATTAAAGGTATTAGGCTACTCATGGAGTGTGTTATTTGCTTGACTATCAAGTAGTGGAGAAGACAATGAAATTGGTATAGTATATAAAATCAATAAAAGTACTTGTGATATATTCAACATCATCGTCATGTGAGCCAATGACGTTACTCTCAACTTTCTGATACATATTCAATTGCTTATCTTTTATCTTTTGAAATTGAAGTCTTCTCATCTCTCTCACATCTACTACTCCTTGCTTACCCTTTCCTTTCTTTAATACGCTTTGATTTCAGTGAATCTCTGAAACAAAACCACCATATCCTCTCATCTCCCTCTCCTGCAAGTTCCGATCTTCTTCCCATTCATCTCACACCTGATCGAATTCAGAGCTACCAAGCAGCCAAGTATCAATTTATTTTGACCATGTTTGACACGGATATTACACCTGCACCCTTCACTTGTTACACCGACACTGGTGTTCCAGGGATGAGTTAAGAGTCTGTAAATATAATTCATAATTCCTAGAAGAATAATAGCTTGGCATGCAAAGATTTCAACTCTGTATTCAGACTAAAGCATTAAGACCAAAGATATTGTAAGTGAAAGATAAAAAGAATTAGGAGTTTTCACCTGGAAGACAAGAGGTTTGTTTAAATCAACTGTGAAACCCTGAGCCACCATCTTGGCACCAAACTATAAATGGTGTGACATATCAAAGGAAATGAAAGAATGATTAGGCAGATACAAATAGGATCAAAACCTAGTGAAAGAATTTACACATGATGAAAAATTTAGAATAGCTTTTAGAACCAAGCTGAAGTAATGAAACACAAACGTGAACCGATCATGAATGACAATAATTGAATTGTCACAACTTGATTTAAGAATTTCACACGAGCAACGTACTTCCATCAGGCCTCAAAACCATACAAAGGCAAGCAAAGCAAAGACACAACACAACTTTATGGAGGAAACAATTCCATTTTATGATGTTCCCTACTCTTCCAATCTGCATCTCCATCCTTTATTCCAAGAACATCCTAACGTATTAATCCTAGGCAAATGACACAAGTAGCCAATTTAGTCGGTAATAATAGTAGGGAAAAATGTACCACTCGAGTGCAGGGGAACTTGATTAAAATGGTACACAAGATCAATTTAACATAAAATAAGTAAGGAATAGCAGTTATTGGTCCTGCCACAAACCAACTTATGCCAAATTGAATAGAGCATTAGGACTACAGCATGGAGCTAGAGCCTTTGGTACAAGTACAAACACACAATACCAAAATTTGACATGAGCAAAGGACATAAAGAACACAAGGGAACTCACATTTGCTTGGTATACTGTCATTTTGGAATGCAAGCAATTTCACATTTTTTGTAAAACAATACTAACCGAATTTAGCAGATAACAGAATGATTAGGGATCTTAACCGAATATCTAGTAAAAAAAATCCTGCACAGTGTCAAGTAGATCTTAACATACATATTTTGATCTTGAAGAAATGCCTTTTGCATATTGAAAACACAAAATTGGACACCATCTCAGCAACATCTACTAAACTAACTAGCAACAGATAACAAAAACACCAAATAGCCAATTAGCTTTGGCTTTCTCCTTGAAACTTTCCAAGATAATACTTCTAATCCAACCATTAGACTGCAAAAAAGTCACCATTTCACGCTGAGAAATTAAAGAAAAAGAAAAACCAATTTTTTCCCATACTGAAACCACCCTTCAATTCTGATTAAACACATAAGATAGCATCCATCCCAAATGCCTGTAAAAATTGGGTCTTTTTCTAAGCTTTTAAATCCAACCCAAAATGCAGGTTTACCAATTAGATCAAAACCAAAAAGGTTCTCATTATATCACCATTACAACAGATCTACCAACCAAACAATCAATCAAAAACTTCAACTTCTCCAAAAAAGTTCAGAACAAGTAAAAACGAAGATGAAACAATGATAAACAAGCACCGACCCAGAAGAATGCAGGCCTGATCGGTGAAGTCCACAAAGGAATTGGACCCGTTCAGGAAGAGGAAAACTGCGATCCGCAATAGCAATTGCAACAGCAGCAGCAGCAGAAGGCAGGTGTCTTTGCTGCCACCCGTTCTAGTATGGTAGCAGTGAAGAGTTAGGGGACATTAGGTGGATAATTTATTGCTTAATTTACTAGTATTAGTATGAGTAATAGAGTGATTTTTGTGAATATTTGGAGAAATTTTTGGGGAAAGGATGGATCTTGACCTTAGATTTTGATATCGGCATCGGGGATGGTACCATCAGCCAGCGGATTTGCACGTTAGAATCTTGAGATTGACAGCCTGGCAAGGTGATGGAGATACAACTCATAATTATCTCTGTCCATGTCTTGTTTGTTCGTTGTTGAGAGTCCTGGTCCAACCGGTTTCTTTTTGAATTTCAAGTTTTTTTTGGTACATTAAATTCTAGGGATAATATAAGAAACCTCTCCCTGAGGCTTTTGACAATTGCACTAGCATCCACTGAATTTTGCAAAATTACACAAACCTTGTTGAGGTTAAGGTTTTGATAACAAAATTAGTCCAATTAAAAAAATAACATTAAAAAATAATTTAAGGAAAGAGATGAAACTTTTATTCCATAAATACTCCTTATGCATATATAAGTTGTATTAGTAAAAGAACAAAAATAATTAATAATTAGGAAAAATGATTAGTTTCATCTCTCACATTTTATAAAAATATTCTTTTCGTCCCTCGCTTTTAAAATGAAGTGAATTCGTTATTGACATTTAAAAACTAAACTATTACATCCCTATACTCAACTTTCAATCTAAATCCAATCACCCAACAACCCGATTACAAATTTCAAGGTTATAATTGGTAAATCATTTGGTTAATTCGACTTAATATTCATATGAAAATTAATGAACTCAAAAAAGGAAAATAAATAATTATAACATAAAAAGAAGGATTATTCTTTCTTATATTGTCATTGTATATATTGATAGGTCTAAATACCTACCACATCATTTCAATTTAAATTTAAATAACAAACTTGTATGTATGGTATATATCTAGATTCACAGTATATACACTAACGGTACATGAAAAAATTTACTTCAAAAACAAACTCTACTATTCCAAGACAAAAGAGCGGCCTTTTCTATTATAATTTTTTATTTTTTCATTTTTTGGTTCAATAAATGTCATGTAAATGTAATGGAGTTGACCTAGTGATCCATCAATACTATCCATGAAATTCGTTACTTGGTTATTGAATGGCTTGATTCATATTAGAAAGTTAGGTTCATGAATGCAATAGATTCAATTTTTAAATGTTAGGGATGAATTTGCTTTGTTTTAAAAGTAATGGATAAAACAATATTTTCCAAAATGTGAGGGACGAAACCAGTTATTTTTTCAAATAATTAATACACACATTTCACCATTCAAAAAAATCATATTCAATAAATTAGATAACACAAATAAACAAAGAAAACTACACTAATGATCACAAGATTTAGCAAAACAAATTAGTCATCTTTTTAACGTGATGTTTGCTATAATTCTTGTGTTTTTTAATAGAAAAAATTTTCTAATTTTGCCTTTCTTTTCCTTTCTTTCTCCTTTACTTCCACAAAATTACTTTCCAACTATCACAACTTTAAGAGTTTCAAAGAAAATATTCTCATGAACAACCTTTTTTGTCCTATATTTTTTTCTTCTGTCAAAGTCCTTCTTCTCACATTATGTACAGCTGATTTTTGGTCATTGTCAAATTCTATCAATCACAAAATAGGGTCATTAGGTATATCAATTGGTGTTATTTTGTAATTACAAGTCATCGTTCATTATTAAATAATTTCAACCGTTATTTTCATTAATTAGTTACTAATAGTTAATTAGTGTTCTAATTACTTAATTGTTAGATACTAGTTTCTAATAAGACATTATGTCTTAAGGTAAATGAATAATTTCTCCCATGTGAGATAAGTAACTAGGCCCACAATTCTAACCAAGAGAGACGAGTGTAATTTTAAAACCTCAGAGGACACCAATGAAATTGTCAGAAACCTCGATGGAGGTTTCTGAAGTATCCCAAAAAGAAAAGGAAAGAGAAAGAAAAGAAAAATGTCCTTGGAACAACTTGAGGAAATGATCATTTTAGTCTTTCAAATTTTTTTATTAGTGCTTTTTTGTTTTGGAAAGATTTCAAATGGCAATAGAGTCATAAAAGAATCAAGTAGGACACGAAATTAAAGTTTAAGGATTAAATTGACAAAATAAAAATCGAGAAACTAAATTGGCTTTAGTAAAACACGTGAAAGACTAAGGAGCCGTTTGGATTGCTATTTTTTAGAGTTTTGTAAAAAAATGTACTGTATCGATTTGATATATGAGGTAAAATGGTGATTTTTGTATTGGAAGTTATTTGAAACAAGTTTTTTTGTATTATTTGCCGTAACATTTTTTGTCTTATTATGTATGAGATGTAAACGTGATTTTGAAGATAACAAGTGGTTTGAAAATGTGTTTAAGGAATAATACAAAAAATTATAAATAATGAGTAATCCAATCATAATTTTCTTTTTCATCCTACTAAGAGTTTAGCACTCAATCTCCACTTAGCTCAGATTACATTCCTTCTCTAAAAAAATGTGCTTTATGATATGATATATATAAGACAAAAAAAATTCTGGAGAAATAGAGATATGAATGGTGCCTTGTTAGTGAACAGTCCAAAATATGTAACAAAAATTTGACTATTCAAATGTCATTGGATTATTATGCTTGTGTATTGTGAAAATTTTGTGTATATCAGAAAATAACAGCTATGTTTGGATAGCAAATTTTTTCAAAAAAAATTTCGTTTGCATCATAAGCACACGCAATCCACCTTTTTATATTCTCAACCATCTTTTTATCTCACATACATCACATCACAAAAAATGCTACAGTAATTATTCCAAATAATTATTTGAAATAATACTCTATCCAACAACCTTTTAATTAACCTTTCTCGTTAAAAAGAAAAATAAAAAGTGTGTTTGGATAGGAGATTATTTGGGATAATTTATTGAAAAAAATGCTGTAATACTTTTTGATGTGATGTATATGAGATAAAAATGTGATTGAAAAATGTGTTTATGATGTAAGTAAATAAATTTGTACAAATAATAAACTATCCATGAAAGATTGGCTCTACTTTTTTCTTCATGTTCTTTGGAACTATGATGAGAAAAAAAGAAGAAGAAGAAGAAGAAAAAGTTCATTAGAATTGATAGTTCTTTGTAAAAAAATTTGTTTAGAAAATATAAGAATAATTTGTATGATATAATGCATGTGAGACAAAAAAAATTTCTGGAAAAATAGAGATATGACTGGTACCTTCTTAGTGAATAGTCCAAAAAAATGTGACAAAAATTTGACTATTCAAATGTCATTGAACTACTATGCTTGTCTATTATGAAATATTTAATTACATCAAAAAGTTATCTTTCTCACTAAAAAGAAAAATAAAGATTGGCTTTATGATGAGACAAAAAGGAAGGAGAAAAAACCGTTTGTTAGAATTGGTAATTCTTTGTAAAAGATTTTGTGATTTCATTATAAACATGTTTTTCAATCATTTTTTCTACCATAAAATTACAAAAAGTTATAGTGTTATTTTAATTTTTCTAGAATAATCTTCTATCCAAAGAATCGACGAGAAGAGGAAAAAAATTATGTTATTAGGAGTTTTAGAGACTAAAGAATGGTTAATCTTATATATGTATATATATATATGTGTGTGTGTGTGTGTCTATATATATATAATATTAGTCTATTAAAGATTAATTCATTAAAGTCTATACAATTTCTCTACAATGTATAGTGTGAAAACTATTGTGTGCCACTTTTTGAACTATCATTTATGCCTTTACCACTAACAAGTGTTTGATAAACCGATTGAGTACTTAAACTTAATGAATTAATTGTTTTTTCTATTAGTTTTGTTTAATAACAAAATTTCCTTGCATTTGAATTTATTAACCCCTCGTTTGGTACGTAGAAATTGCCTAGAATAGAAAGGTCTTTTTGACTTGTCTATTTTACTTTCGTGTTTAGTATGGGTATTTTAAGTTGAGAGGACCTTTTAAGTTGAAAAGGCATTTCCCCCTTAGAAAACTCATTCAAAATATTTTTTTAAGAACCCATTCCTTATAAAAATTTTAAGCTCTTTCTAGCTTTATGTTAGAATATCCAAAATTATTGGGGTTAGGTTTATGCTCATACATCTTTTAACTACAATATCAAATTAGGCTTTTATTAATTTATTTGATAATTTACCATAATTTTATTTTTAAAAAATATTCTAGTAATTTAAAATTGATCATAATTTTTTTTACTTTTTTCATGATATCGTTTTTTTAAACATTTGTGCAAATGTATAAGAATTTTTTTACACTTGACATAGATAGTGAAAACAAAATAAAGAGAGAATATGAATGTTCGACTTTATGTGATTTAATTTTTATACGCTTGTAATTATACTAGATTACTATTAATACAAAAAAAAAATTAAATAATAGTCATATTTTAGAATTAATAAACTATTATAATTGAATTATTTTAATAAGTACATTAGTCATTCCTAATATACTAAAAAAGGTCAAAGTTCCTTGTATGAGGTAAACAAGTATCATAGCAAGAATAAGGAAAAAAAAAGAGAGTAAAATTATTTAATATTCTATAATAGATTTCAAGGTAATTAAGCCAAATTCGTGCATAATTTAATCCTATTTTGGCATCTAAAAATTGATGATATCAAATATTGAAAATGGAATGAGCATTCCATTCTAACTTGCATATCAAACATTGTAATGAAAATGTTTCTTTCGTTTTATTCTTGCTACAAAGGCATTTTGGTTGAAAAAACTTTTCATTGTGGGCATTCCGACATAAAGAGCCATTTAATTTCTACGCAAAATTTGAGTGAATGTTTGATCACTTAAATTGCTGAATATTTGAACTAGTGTAACATTTATTGTTCTCTCAAAAATTATTGGTTCACATAGCCACACACTTTCATACACACACACACAAAGTCTCTTTCTCCCTCTCTCACATACACATACACATTTTTCACAGTTCAATTTGTTTACCAAATGGGATGATCTAGTTTCATCAGGTCTCTGATTTTCATAGTACACACATACATATAAATATATAAATAAATAAATACACACACACACACAC